ATCTCTACACCCCTTAAAAAAAGGAAACCCAAACAGTTCACACAAGAGATGTATTTAGACTGAATTACACTCTAGCTGCTTCAAACCGGCCAGGGAGAGTGCAGCTCATTCACATAAGCTGAAATTTAACCTCTTTGTACAAAGCCACAGTGATCTGGTGTCATGAGGTCGGGGGAGGCAGGATAGAGTCTATGTCCCTGGACTTGCTTTAGGCTGCATTGCAACCCTTCCACAGGTGCTCTGCCAACTGATGCATGGAATAGCAGTTATGGTCCTTCTGCTCCCTTTGGGTTTGGGCCATTGGGTCTGTTTATCTGTATATTAGATCTCCCACAGAGAGAGAAATTGGGCACCTTGTTTGCATGACAACAAATATTTTAGACCAAATGTTCAAAGGGGCCTCCATTTTATGCGTGTAGAAACCCGTATTTGCAGGCAAAAATGCCCATTTTCTCCTCATGGCATTTTGGAGTTTGCATGTGTTGAGTTTCTGAAAATACGTCTCTTAATGCCTTATCATCTGATGTTCTTCAAATTAATAGTGGGATGTTTGCACTAGAATGGACCTATCCCAGAAAATCATAATGATCCAGATTCGCTGGTCCAGCCAGGCAATGCTCAGTACAGAAACAGAGGTGAGCAGACAAAGGTAGTATAAAATCCTGATCCTTGGGATATGGACTGACTGAACCCCTAATGAAATGTCGAGATGGCTAAAGATTGCTCTAAGTTGTGACTGCTTGCCTCTGGTCCTAAGAAGTCATTGTATCCGGACACATCACTTTTTCCCTGCCTGTACTCCCTATGCTATCTAACTGTATGTAACTCCAAAGATTTCCCCTACGCAAGGGGAATCTACAGGTGGCTGAGTAACCTGCCTTTTTACTATGAGACACATAGGGCCTAGAGTGAGCCTGAAAATCTGGCCCTAATATACTTAATAATAATTTTTTTTGGCTTAGGTATGACTATCAGTAATAACAAAAGGAGTGTGTCTGATCTGAACTGACTGTACCAGTCCACAGTTAGGAAACTGAAGTCCCAATGAAGAACTTTCAAACAGAGAGACAGATAGGGTCATTGTGTATTAACTCAGTGTGCACCCCCCATTTTTTTTTCCTTTTGATAACTAGATAATTTCACTGCAATAATCATGGCATTCCCTATACAATGTCCAGAAAATACTGCAAACACTGCACTAAAGTTATCTAGTTATCCAGAATAAAGTAAAATATTTTAAGGGTGATCACTGTGTAGACAGATAGACAAACACACACACACACACACACACGCAGAGTGTATTTTATATCTACATAATGTAGTGTTCTTTTAAAAATTAATGCCTCTCCAAAGTCTTACTGTGTCAAAGTTAAGTGGATAGGTGAACAGAGAGGGGCTTTCCTCTGGCCCGAAGGTAGTATGTGTGGGCCCTACTAGATGGGCCCTTCTGTACGTTGGCTAAGCAGCTGACTCAGTGCACAAGGCCGAAAAGGTGCCTACTGGAAAACTGCAGAGCTGTTGAGGGAAAGAGGTGGGATAGGGAAGGTGAGTGCATGTCCTGTAAATATATTTCCCATCACTTGCACAACACAATGCTCTATCCTCAGCCTGACCCTCTTCTCCATGCCACTGGGCCACTATACCTATGGATGTTACTCAGCTAAGTATAATCTGTACTTAGCCCAATTGCAATGGAGACAAATAAATCATTATTTGACTGTATTTTCCTTTAGAAAATTAAGGTTTTCTTTGGGTGGGGGGTAGGGCCAGTAAAGGAGTGCCATTATTTCCAGTTGTCATTTTGGGGTGATTGGGGTGCTTCCTGCCAGCCTCAGTTACTAGCAATGGCAGAAGGCTCTATTGGTCCATTTTCATTATGGAGGAACTGCCCCAGATCAAAATGTATGACCCCTCCTCCTCCTTAATTTTAGCAGAGTAGAGGCTCTTTGACATCAGGGGTCATGGCTCTTCATCCTATTGAGCTTGGACAGGGAGATATTGATTTTGGCAAACGTAACTTCTTTAAAATGTCCTCCCTGGCTCAGGGAAAAGTCTATCTTTTACGATGTAGGGGGATGTCATTCCATCACAGATTGACTTTACACAGTTACTTCTATGGAACAGTCCAAAGGCCAGCAGGGAGACAGCAATTTAGGGAGGGACAAAGCCCCCCAAACCTAGCATTCCACTTAGTTTTACAGGAATAGTTGATAAAATAAATGGACTACATAATTCTCAATTCATTGTATTACATCTACAGTCTATTAGAAATATAAATTCAAAAGTTACTTCATATCCTTCATTATTCTACAGGTCTCCTTTAGTTATTTTGGTGTTTCACTATTGAAATGATAGCTTCACTTCTTATCACCTCTTCCTGCATCAGCAGAAAAAATCAGTGAAGTTGCCAGGTAGGTAAATAGTTCTGGGAAGTTAGAAAATATTTTATTTTTACTTTAGAAAAATAGTCTTCAAAAATACATTTTGAACTCATGGGCTTTTACTAAAGTAGATTTTTATATTATGTACAATAAGGCAGTCTATCAAATAGTGTTCTTTTCTTTCAATAAAAGTGAACATTGTTCAGTTCTATTTGGCTAAGAGATGGGTGGGATGTAGTTTATTCATCATATTGAAAAGAAGCAGGAAAATATGTTGAGAATGATTTACTACTTTGCTACAATTACTTTAATATATTATTTTTTATATATGAAATCGTCAACATCCAAAAAACTAACTTTTTTTTTTAGGATTGAGAAAAATATATAATAGAAAAACCTATACCAGTGTTTATAATTCATTAAGAAAAAATACACTGTGTGCCATAGTAGTTCATCAGCAGTATACATGGTCTAAGAACTGTATGAACAATCATGGGTAAGACTACGATTTTGTCATGGAGGTTGTGGAAGTCAGGGAATCCTGGACTTCCAGAGACCTCTATGACTTCAGCCCACAGCGGCTGGGAGTTGCAGGGTCCCTCTGCCCCCCAACGGTGGTGAGGGTACCCTGCAGCTTGGGGCCCCTGCGAGCTCTGATCCACCGCAGGCAGTGGGGCCCTGGGAGCTCTGAGCTGCCCAGCCACGTGGGTGGTGTCGGGACTCCGCAGCTCCTCATTTTGTCACGGATATTTTTAGTAAAAGCCATGGACAGGTCATGGGCTTCTGTGAATTTTTCTTTATTGTCCAGGACCTGTCCATGACTTTTACTAAAAATATCCATGACAAAATCTTAGCCTTAATCATGGTATACTGACCAACCTCCCCCAATTTTGTATCTTTGTTGAACCTGCAATATTTGGCTAGTTTTCATCAAATAATAGAAGAAATGCGAAGTTCAACAATTTGTTTACATTGTAGGTTTCCATGGCACATAATATCCACTTCCTTGTCCTTTCTTCCTAAATTGAAAATCTATTTTAATGATCTGAGGTTTATTTATTCTATTACATCAACCTACAAATCCCTTTTTTCTCTTTATTATACCCCTTTCCAAGAAACCATGTCACATACTTTTGTTTTACTGTACATAACTATTAACAAAAGTAAATCTATATATCACAATTTGAAAATGAAATCATTTGTTCTGCAATCAGCTAGTAGAAAACATAGAAAGGTGTGAGCTACAACTGAGCTTTAGTAGTGTAATTCTATGTAATCCACATACTAGAACATTCCATTTTAATTGCATTTAATTTACTCTGTAGTGTTACCTGAAGAAGGATAATCGAACTTTCAGTTAATTAAAGGAGCACATAAAGGAAGTTGGATCCAGGTAATCTAATCCACCAGTGTCTATTTTGCACTCACTTGGAGTTGTAAAACAATAGCTCATATTTTTCTCTGTTTGACTCTGTTGAAGGTTCTGAACAGATTCCTTTGGAGGTTCTTGAAACATAGGTGTGGTCTGAACTCTTGAAACTGGTATTATTACTAGAATGCTGTTGTCCACAACCCTTGAGACCTTTGCATATTCCTTGCTGGTTCCAGGGACAGTACAGTTTTCAGTTTTGCCACCATTTTCTTTCTGTTTCGGCAATACAGCTAACGCCCCGTCTTGGTTGACTTTGTGAATTTCTACATAATCCATTAGTTTAGCAGACAAAAAAGGTGACTTCTCACTGGGCAGCAATTGCATTCTGTCTTGGTCAGCTTTGGAATGCAAGCTCTCCACTTCTCCTTGCTTGTCCAGTTTTTCCTCACTGATAGTTTCAGTGGGTTTAGAATATTGTGACTGTTGATTTTCTTCATTTCCCCCCAAAATTGATGTAACATTCACATTCATGGTGCCAAGGGCTATCTTACAAACATCCGTAATGTTGTGGTAGGAGCATTTAGGAGTCTGATTGTTAGATAGCTGAGCTCCAGGCCACGTAGATAACTTTGTACTACCAATGCTAAAATAAGGTATTTTCCCTTTTAGGTCTGTGCTCTGAATTTCGCAGCTGCTTTTTCTTGCATTATTTTCTGAAATTTCACTGATATCTGGTGTTTGAAATGCTGATGGAGGGATTCTGGGCTCCCTGCTCCTGTCAGAGAGTAGGAAAGGGCTGTCACAGCTCCCTCTCCCTGAGTCACTGTCTGTTTCCTTGTGTGTTGACTTCATATTTTTACTGGGATGACCTTTTTCATGACTTGGCATTAGTTGCTGATCCTCACTGTCATCTACCTCCAGAAATTCTACCAGTAGGTCCTCACAGTCTGATGTTGGAGGGAAGTCTTGGCAACCCAGAGCGCTCAAAAACTCGTCGGACCTCCCTGTCTGAGGGGATAACAACAATATACATTACAATCATATTTGTGGCTAACTGTAAGATTTATCTGTTGTTAGTATTTCTCTCCCACCCTGACTGAGACCGCAGTGTTTAGTCTACGCCTATAACATGGAAAATGTGCTTGAATGCTGCAGTTGCTGTAATGTGTGCAGTTATACGGGTAAGGCTACACTAAACCTAACCTTGTTTTGGTGCAAAACATAGTGGGAGTCTACAAGCACCCATGTGAACCCCTTGTTCAGGGGCCAGATAGTCCCAAAACTTGTGCTTACGGCACACAAGGACCAGGGGAATCTAGTGATGACAATGGTACTAGGCAGCCAATGGGGTGGGGAGGGACAGGATGATGGAAGACTATGGTCCAGCCACCTCTTCTCCTCTGGACAGCAGAGCGTTGTGGGGAGCACATACTTTATCCTATTAAAAAAAGAGTTGACAAGAGTCACTCAGGCTTTAAGTGGCCCTGGTGCACCAGGAGGCATTATGATAGCTTCAGATACAATGCCTCTGACAGTAACTGCTGGTACAAAACCCCTCCTCAAATACACTCTTCCCCCCCCGTGAAGGCACTAGCTTAAAGGCATGTCCTGTCCATATTATCAACCTGGCCATTTTACTTATTCTTCAAACAAATTCAAGCTATAAAGTACCTAGGTAGGGTAAAGGCTTGTTCCAGTATTAAATCCAAATGCCATCCTTGTTGCGTTCATTATTACAAAAGCTTGGCAAAGTATATAGCACTGAATTCCACTATATTCTTTAGTAATACCCACCTCTAGCAGATGTGTATCGAGTCCCTTTATCTTGGGCCCGGGGACTGGTGGTAAGATGCAGGCTACCATACTGAAAAAAACAAAGGCAGAGAACATAAGAAGTGAAGGCACAGACCCTATTGCCCCAATTGCTAGCCCATTGCAATACCAGTTCAGTTCAAACATTTCTAATGTATTTGATACCTTTCTTATTAGACCCAAGCCCACTGTACCTTCCCAGGACAGTGTCAGCCAGGTATAGCTCAGTAAACATTTTTAAGTGCCTTACATATCTATACAGAAAAGGGAATAGTGCAAATACTGTGGTGAAGTTAATTACGTTTACTTAATTATAAACTGTAAGTAATATACATTGTCAGAATCACTTATTTCTATTATTACTAATATTTGGAATAGTACAGCACCTAACATCATTTTGGTGCTGAAATGCATCTATCTCAAGTGTGGAACACAGCAGCTGCAAACACCATACAGCAACACTACACAACATTTTGGTGATGAAACTGAATAAAAATGCACTATTCAACTGAAACTGAATGGAGTAATTAACATTCACTCTGATTGTAATCAGTGATTTTGGCAGAAGTCTTAAACTTCAAATAGTATGTCTAGGCCTCAGGCTAGTGTGCTTTTTCAATTGCTAAACTGTTCCTATTCACAGGGGAATATTCTGAGGGCTTGTCTACACTTACAGCACAACTGTAGCACTTAGTGAAGACACACTACCTATGCTGATGAGAGAGCTTCTCCCATTGGTGTAGGTACTCCACCTGTCCGAGAGGCATTAGCTATGTCGACAGGCGAAGTCCTCCCAGTGACATAGCGCTGTCTACACCAGGAGTTCGGTCAGTATAACTGCCACACTTTGAGTGACATAGTTAAAGCGACATGCATTTTTAGTGTAGACCAGGGCTCAGGCTCTAATGGCTAGCTAGTGTCTGAGCGGGTGGGAGGACATGGAGTGGGGCACAAGGAGCTTTCCCCCATGCAAGAGCCTGTCACAATCACAACTGCAATCTCTGTCTGTAGTTGGGGGAGCTCAAGGAATGCTTCCTTCAAACGCCCCCATAGTGCCCCAAAGGAACAGGGAGGGATAGAAGGAGACAACACCAGGCACTTGCCTAAAGTTTATCACAGCACAACTCCCCCTGGGACAATGTGGTTCTGCAAAGCCCCGGCACAGGCACTGATAGGCATAATTGGTTCTAAATATCTATTCAAACAAAAAAGACTCCATGGTGAAAACAAACAACCAAACAACAAAAAAAGCGCCACCATTTCACTATGTCTCACTAGAAAAATAATATAAGTTACGCATATCGCTTTGCTGCAGCACCTAACCAGCCAACACTATTTCCAGCACTGAGCACTTCATGCTACTATGGTACCATGCGAGAAATAAACAAAAAGCCACAATAGAAGGCATACAGAAGTAGGAATACTCCATAATACGTTTGCCAAATGAACTAGGAAAAACTAAACAGGAAGCTCAAAGCTAGATTCTCAGTCAATGTAAATAGGCATAGCTCCAGTGATGTTAAATTTACTTCAGTTCAGGATCTAATTATTTCTTGATAAGCTTCTAATAGACCATAAAAACAATGAAAAATTAAAACAAATATTAAAAGCTTATTTTTAAAGGTAATTAACTAAATCCTTTAGATTTAATACAAACAGTAAGGCAGTGACTTACCTAAAGCCTTTCAAAGCCATCATCCAGATAATGATTAAGCAAATGACAGATGATAATACAGCCACAAAGATCCAGACAATCACATCCTTCAACTCTATGTCTAGAAAATACAAGCAGGAATGCTTTAGTTGCATACAGTGTAGCAGCTAAAAAGCGGGTGATAAAAATGTTGCAAATGGCACCTATCTTTAAAATGGGCCTAACCCCCAAACTCAGTTTTGTGGCTTGAGACCATCTCTAGTACATACTGATCTACTGCATCATATTAGTGCTTGATATTTAGGTGTTCTTCACCTGATGGCACAGCACAGGAAATAAAATGCCTAGGAGAAAAACCCTGTCAGAGTAAAAAGTACATGAGGAGGGTAAATTTTGCCACAGCCAGATACACCAACACAGGACAGAAAAGCAAGGGCAGCATCTATGCCATGCATAAATCTGCTTTTGTGAATAGTTTAGCCATCTCATTGTCAAGTCCTGTATAATATAATTAATGAAATTATAGGGAGGGGGCAACTACTGGATGGCTTTGAGAATTTCTAATAGTACACGAAGCCTTATACCTTTAGGCCAGTTCAAATACATCCCCTGTAGGCAGTGACTAAGAACTATTACCATCTGATGTTAATGGCTGTTTGGTGTCTTATACAGTAATCTCAGTGCAGTTCGCAATGGACAAGTATCCACATATCAAAATCACTATATTAAAAGGCAGTAAACAGCACCCTTGCTGGCAGATTCAGTGGAGTGGCCAATGCTTAAATGGATAAGGAGAATGAACCACCTTCTTACTCAGAAGTAATCAAGGCTGAGGCAAATTGAGAACATGGTGTAGGGCAGCTACCATTTCTGCTACCTTAGCAATGTTTTATCTGTCCTGTGGGTAATACAGGATTTCAGTCTTCAGGTCTGTTAGCGGGGCAGCTAACTAACGTACTAAATTCACTTCCATTTAAAAATAATTAATAAAAGGAGGATCAAATAACTCACCACCGGGGATTTGAATATAACTTTCTGAGCTCCATTCACTCCATTCTCCATGGTCCGGTTTGCAGTGTACCTGTGCAAGGTATTTCTTTCCTGGATTTAAACTAAACAACTTGTATTGTGTTTGTTGTCCAACAAAAATTGTCTGAAAAATAAACAACACAAAACCCATAAAAATTGAGAACATAAGAACAGCCAGACTGGGTCAGACCAATGGTCCATCTAGCCAATATCCTGTCTTCCAACAGTGGCCAATGCCAGGTGCTTCAGAGAAAATGCACATAACAAGGCAATTATTGAACAATTCATCCCCTGTCATCCAGTCCCAGTATTTGGTAGTCAGAGGTTTAGGGACATCCAGAGCATGGGGTTTCATCCCTGAGGCATTTTGCTATAAAAATTTTAGGCTATTTAGAAAGTTGACAAAGTAATGGGAGTGTAAAATGAACAGTACTGAAACTAGATAGCAACATAAGAATTTGCAATATGGGAACTGAATAATGGTCTATTTATTATATAGCATTCTCAGTTTTCTAATATAATGCTGTGAGAAAGAATTTTAGCTCTAGTGCAATGTTTAAGTGAAACTATTGTGAAAACACACCAGGACTGGATCTCCCTTTTTCCCAAGTTTTATTTATTTTGGTTTATGAATGCGAAAAACAAGGAAGGATCCAGCAGATGATGAAGGTGATGGGGAAAGCGGACATCCTCTAGTGATGCGGAGTACTCAGTTAAAAAAAAATCATTCTGAATCGTGAATTTTGAAAATGTGAAACTTGAAAGAGTTTAGAGGATATTGAAAAGAGCAACACAAGCCAACAGAGAGAGACAGCATTTTGGAGGAGCAATAGCTGACGGAGCATCAAAGATGGAACTCTGAGCGGAGCTCAAGTGAGTAGTGAAGGCAGAAGAAAGAGTTGTGAGCTTGGAACCCAAAGAAAATGTCCCCAGTTTTAAGGACAGGGAGAGGTAAAGGCTTGTGCATACGTTGTCATTATATAGCCTGCCAATAGAATCTAATGATTATTTGCATGGATGGAAATAGTTTCAGATAATTTTACCACCGATTGTTACTGAGCTTTCTGTTAGCAATTTTATGTCTGTGGTTTAGAATAGATTACCGTGGTGGACAACAACAATCAAACCCATATCTAGAACATGATTAAACTAGGACTGATAATTTAAAGAGTATGGTAATACTACAGTTAATATACAGTCAAATATTTTTGCCACTGGTTACCACACAGAGGTATCTGAGATACCACTTTATTTTTTTCTCTAGGTGTGGGAAAATACTGTGATCTCTCATACAGCACTGTAGGGCAACTTTTGGTAATGCTGAATTTTTGATGGTGTCTGGTGTGTTACATTCATGGATATAATATAATTGAAAAGAGAAGACCAACTAGCAAAATCTTACCTCCCATTCATCCCCTTCTTCAGGTTTTAGTCGCAAATTATATTCAAGAGTAAGCCACCCAGATTTGACATCAGCCAGTGGAGGTGGATGCCATTTCAACAACAGATACGGTTTTCCATCTACTTGTTTTTTTACTTCTAGAGATAGGTTCACAGGAGGGTCTGGCTGAACTGTAAAAAGGGATAAAGGGTTTAAATCACCTTTGCCTTGCACCTTGGAAAGTCATTTACACTTCTGAATTAACTGGGTCCTGAACACTGGATCTGAAAGCCCATGCACTTTGGATCAGTTTGCCTCTGGCTCCACTGTTTAAAAAAGTCTTAATGTCTTACCTATGTAAGTCACATCCACATATTGAGGCTCAGAGATGTTACTTCCCATCTTATTGGTTGCCTTTATGGTGATATTATAGATTGCCCAAAGTGAGGTGTGCTTTTTATCAAAGTAACAGGAATTGGGGCCTGCAGTTCTGTAATCTGGACATTCATTGATTGATTTGTCTCTGAAATTAAAGAAACGTAGTGATCAGGAAATATACAGAATAAAGCACATGAATTTTACTACTATCACTACTACTTACTTAGGACTGGATATCACCCACTCATGCTCTGGGGGACGGGAAGAAGGCATAAAATGCTGATCCAGCGCAGGGGAGCAATAAGGCAGGATTCATCCCCAGCATTCAAAAATGTGCAGTAGGCCCTAGATACTGAGATGATCTGCACACCATGGCCCCCAAAGAGTGTGTTCTATCAGCTGTGTGTGGGAGTGTTCAGCTGGGTAAATGCTGCAAGGGGTTAGCTGGTTTTCTTTCAGAACAGCAGCAAAGTGAGTCCCACTGCATGCCACCTGCCTCTGCCAAGTGCCAGGTACTAGGTGGCCTTGGAAAAATCTTTTAACAAGCCTACTAAATGCTAAATAATTCAAACATTCATTTCCCCCCCCCCAATTCATTTTGTATCTCTGATATACCTTCAACATCTGTTTTGTGCATCTCTCCCCCATTCCCAAAACCTATTCTGTGTCTTTCACCCTCTGCCCCTCAAAAAATCCAGTTTGTGCCTCTCTTTATGTCCCGAGTAATATATTTATTGCTATTCCCAGACTGAGGGTATGTCTACACTAGAGCTGGAAGGTGTAAATTCCAGCTCCAGGAAATGTACCTGTGGCTAGCTAGTGTGACAGATTAATGTTACCAATCTGCCTGAGGCGTTAGGTGATTAGGCTGAGGCCGCACGATTGTTAGGGGAGGAGATGAAGGAGCACACCAAGTGACTAAATTTTAAAGCTTTATTAATAAAATAACTGCGGTGAGTGATGGGTTTGCCTCCATGTTACTTAGAAGAAGGAAAAAAGTGTTAGTGCCCGAGCCCTAACCCATTTTTATACTTACACACGCACAACCCAAGGCTGGCCAAGCCTGGGCGTAACGGAAGAAAAAGAGGGGGAAGGGTAGATGAGAGTTTTGTTTTGTGCACAGACCGTTTAGGGTTTGCTGTTAATTTTTAATTTGCTTTAGCTTTTAGGAAGGTTTTAAGTTTGGGGTTTTTTTGGGGGCATTTTGTTTAGGGACCTTTGTTTCCCAGGCTTTTTGTACCAGTTTAAACCGGCCTTTTGTGGCTTTTTAAGCTTTTTTAAAACACATCAGCTTTAAGAACGCGAAACTGTTGGGGTTTTTTTGCTGGCCTTTACTGTTTTACTAGTTTTTGCAGCCCCTGCAGTTTTGTTTAGCTGTATTTTTTTTTTTTTTTTTTTTTTTACGGCTGGTTGGGGTTGGAATTTAGGCCTCCGTTTTTTTTTGGCAGGCAGCCGAGAGTTGGTTGTGTGCCATGGCCTTGGGCTGGAGATAAGAGTTTTATTTTTGGAGCTAGCTGGAACATCGAGTTAACCCATTCCCTTCTTCCTTCCTTCCTTTATGGCCTTTTGTAACCTGCAAAGGAACCTCTCACTCCACACTCACACCTTTCCCTTTCCAAAATACCTTGCAATACCTGCAACAGCGTTAGCAACATACAATGCTGATTTGCCTCCCCAGGGGACCCCCTGAGGGAGGGGGCCATTGGGTTGTGACAGTCCCCCCCTTGACCCCTAATCAACATTTTGTTGTGAGGGATCACCACTTAGGTTTTTACCCTTTCTCTGACACGGTGGCTAGGGTTACCGTTGGCCTTTTACATAAACAGCAATATAGCACAAATAAAATTGTTAGGGGGGCAACAATTGCATGCACTAGCCAGTAGTGGCTATTGGCGTTATTAGAAACATAGCATAACACATTTTTGTTGGCATAGATGCCCCATTTGGATGGCTGTGGCAAAGGCAGCTTTTTTTAGATGAAACATGTGCTGCAACACTGTAAAGGAGGAGGCATTTGTCTGCAACATGGTTAGTTGTTTTTGGGTGTGCATTAATGGCAGGAAAACATTGGGTGTGATTTACGAAAAATTAAACACAACATAGTTAGAAACATTAACAATACTTTGAATAACAGCGGGCCAATGCACTAAAAATTTTTGCGTTTTAGATTGTAACAGCAAGTTGAGAAGCACTTTAGGCTTGGTGTTTTTTTAAACACACGCTGAGATATTGGTAAACAGATGTGCCTTAGTGGGGGCATATTTTGATGCCTTTCCTTTTTAGCAGCTGTGTTGACCCACCTTGTAAAAGTGGCTTGGCATTGCCCTTTTTTTACACATTATTTGAGGGGGTTTTATAGGTTATAGTTGCCAGGTGTTTCCCTTTGCAATTTATATGTGCTGATAGTTGGGGGCTGTAGTTAGCACATACAGCTTAGCCGTGTTACTGGGCGGAGCCACCTTTTACACATTGCGATGGACTATGGGTTTAGAGGCAGCCTTTTTAAAGGCCTGGTTGGATTTTTATACCAGGGGCCCACCCTTTTTTTATAGGGCCAACGGCCGTGAAGAAGCAGGCTATGCCTGTGCACTTTTAATTAGTGAGTTTTTAGGAGTAGCGAAAAGGCTATTGTTTTGGGGGAATTTTTGAGTGGGAATGGATTTTTTTGGGCCAGGCTTTATGGAGCAAATTTTTTTCGATGCTATGAATTTGCTGGGTTAAATATTGTTGGATTTGGAGCACACAGAATTTTAAGTTAGTTGGTTTTTGGCCTTAATTATGGTTTTAATTAATTTTTGCAAGGTGTTTTGCATGTGGAGGGCCAATTTGGCACTATGTTTGAGGGTGGAGGTGGCCACTGTAAGGTGGGTAAGATTTGCACTTGTGACCAGGCCCATGACCTTTTAAAATTGTTTTAGCTGCTTGTTTTTTATGGCCCGCTGCTGAATATTTTAAATATTGACTGTCGAATTAGCCCCATTCCACAAGGAGCTTACTAGGGTTTGCCTTTTTTGGGGGGACAATAGTTGGATAAGGAGGGCAAGTTGGAGGGTGACCTCCCCCCGGTACAATTGGGAAGGAAGGCTGGGACTTGGAAGCGTTTTAGAGGCAAATAAATGTTTAAAGCTTTTAAAGTGCATTACGGAGGATTTACCGTTGAGTGGCTGCCTTTTATTTGGTGGCTGGTAAAATTTGCCACCACTGCTGGTGGGGAGGTGGGGGTGAGGAGAGATGTGGAGGTGCTTTTTTAGGACCATTTTTTGCAGACTCGGGGCTAAGCGGAGGAGGATTATATTGCAATGAAGGATTTTGCAGGCCTGAAGCAGCAAGAACGGTTTTACCACTTTTGTTTGGGATGTTTTGGGGCTTTTCGTATTACTCCCGGTTTTGTTAACAAAGCCAAAGGGAAAGAAAAGGGACAACATAAATGCACCTATTTGGGGAAATTGAGGCACGTGTGAAAACCATTAAAATTATTAGTTATTTTGTTGCAGCCCTTTTTAATTTTTGTTGTGGATATTGTTTGCCTGGTTTAGGAGGTTACAACAACTATATTGCGTTTAGGGATTAGGGATTGCTATTACTTGTTAAAGGGCTTTTTATTTTACTTTAGGCCATCATAGGAGGAACAGAGTTCGATTTTATTGAATTTAGGGTAGATTTGGCGTACCCAGAAGGATTTTATGTGCAATATGGGGAGTGGGCTAACTTTTTATATTTTTGCTTTTAGAGCCTGTTGGTGTGCAATTTTGATAATTTTTTTAATTAAAAGGTTTGGCCTTACTATGCTAGAAACATACTGCATTTATTTGTACTGATAAGTATTAAACAGTGATTTTTTTTTGCTTTAGCAAGTGTATTAAAATCTTAGTGTTTTTTAGTATTATCCAAAACATTTTGTGTTTTAAGGTGGACAAAGCAAGTATTTGCCTTTTAGTACATTTTATGTGAAATTGCAGTATGATTTTTTATTTTTATTTGTTTTTGTATTAGGCTGTTTTGTAGCTGGGACAGAGAGCCTAATTTATTTTTAATTATCTTTAGGTTCATAGTATTTATAATTTTTGCTTTAAAACCAATTTTTTTTTAATATGGTGTGTGCTACCTGAGAATGTTTTTTGCAGCATTTGATACACAACAGTGCTAGCAACAAGACAAACAACACAAGACAAAACATAGAACACAAAATACAATTTTTATTATGACAGTAGATTTATGGTATTTTGGGTTGCTTTTTTTTTTTTTTTTTTTTTTTTTT